CCAGACTTTTCTCTCTCAGGACCACAGGGCGGATTTGAATTATACACCTAAGGTTAGCAGTGGCGTGCAAACTGTTTGTGTCACCTGTATGTCCACTCCTGTTATAGCAATAACCTGTTACCCACAGTGAGCACTGCAGCATTCTAGGTAATATCAAAGTTTGGGTTTAGGGAAGGGAATATGATTTGCACTCAGAGAGCTTTCAGTTGAGGGTATACTCAAGAAATTAACAACATGCATGTATCATCAGAGTGTCTGGTAGTTCTGATTTTCAATAGTTTGTAAGTAGTTTTCAATAGTCTCTTCCAAGGCCAGACAACAAATGCAGTTGGTTTCTCTCTGCTTCTATCAGCTCTATCTCAGACTGTATTGGGGAGATATAATTATGTAATCCCTGGTCACTTCAAGGTACTCAAACTTTGATTAACCTTACTTCTAAATATTGGAATAGAACAAGGAGTAGATCCCTTTTCTTGATTTTCAGACAAGGTAAGTGTGTTAGTCTGGGTAGACTAGAGAAGCAAAATTAATAAACACTCATATTTTATAAAAGAGAATTTTATATAAAGGGTAATCAATTGTAGACTGAGTATCCCAACATAGTCCAGTCCAACCCTATAAGTCCGACATTAGCCCATAGGTCTGACATCAATCTACAAAATCCTCCTCAAACTCACAAAACACACTCAATGATGCTGAATGCAGGAGGAAAACCCAGCCAGCGTGTACACATCTCAGCGCTGGCAGAGGTCTCCACACAGCTTCTCCAGCACCCAAAGCTACATCAGGGTAGGTCCATTTGGCTTCTCCTCAGGTGATGTCTAACAGGAAGTGAGCCTTGCCAGCTAAGGCAGAGAACTAGTTAAGGCAGCCACAACTGGCCCAACCACCGGAGAGCAAGAACCAAGACAGGCGAGGCTCACTGAGCCATTTATCTCTCCGCCTTTCAATTAACCCCACATGTGTTGATCAGCCAGGTTGGCACAATAAACCTTAACTATCACAGTAAGTAATGCTCATTTACAAATTGTGGCTGGATTAACAACTTGTCTTAACTCTCTAGTTTAAAGTGCTACCTGGCTGTTGTTCATCTTTCATAAGTTATACATGGTGTCTAAACAATTCTTTCTTTGCAAAGACTTTTAAAATATGGGTTATTTGCTTAGTCCCCACCCCCCTTTTCATGGCAGAGGAAAAACATTTCATATAGGATATAAATGTAGTGGTGAAAATCATTCTGGAAAAGTAGATGTCACTTGAGATAATTTTTCAAATCGCCAATATTTGAATGAAAGTACATTTTAGAGAGCTGCTCTTCTAACTGCCATCTTTGCCTCACACTTCCACTCTGGGTCTCAGGAGAAAACCCAGTTCCTGACTGAAACCATACTATCGAGTCCATTCCAATCCTATCTACTCTAGACAACAGGGTTTGCAAGGCTTTGACATTCTTTATGAGAGCAGAGAGTCTCATTTTTCTCCCAGAAAGCAGCTGGTAGGTTTGAACCCTTAACTTGACAGCTGCAGCCCAACAGCACCGCCGAGGCTCCTTGATGAGGAGAGAGCTAGAAGCCAAGCATACCCAGAGCTAGAATTAGTGTCTTGGGGATTATGATAATATCTCAAGCCGTTTCAGTCATGGCTAAATCCAAAAAAATGCCACCACTTTAAAAATTAATGGTTTGATCTATTATTTTTTCTCACTAGTCTAAGCTTATAGGCCTACTGTTTTCTTGTAGTGTCTCACACACGTTAAGATTGAATACGTAGGTTTATAAGAGCTTCCAGAATGGTAGAGGTTCATGTGTTAAGTAGAAGGCAGTGGGAAACGTTGATCGTAAACCCATTGTTAACTCTACGAACAACTTGCTGTGATTACATTTAATTTACACATTCATTTTAATTAAATGTTCCCATTTCCTATTCCTAAGTCATTGTACTATAAGATTCGAAACACATGGTTATGTCTTTTCCACCATCTATGGATTTTCATACTAGGATTTTAAATGTATCATTATGAATGCATCTTATAGGATTTCTCTAAATTAGCACGATGAATCTCATGTTTAAACATGGCAGAAATAAAACAAACAATGAACCCCCAAAGAGCACCTAATGAGACTAAGTCCCTTCCACCAGGACAGCAGTGTGAGCTCCGTTTTCCTCACTGCTTCATACTAAGGTGTGAAGGCCCAGGTAACAGTTATCCAAATGCTCAGTCCACAGACCGTAGGAAGGATCCAGCCTACCCAAATGGAACGTTCCACTTACTGCTGGAAGGGCATTAAAAGTATGTCAGCCTTGTTTTCTGTTGCCACCAACATAATTGCCATTTCGACCACTTGTTGAGTCTATTCTGGCTCCCGGGGGGCCCTGGGGTGTCAGGGCAGCACGGTGCGGCACAGGGGTCTCCGGGGATACTTTGCCAGAAGGAGGCAGCCAGGTCTTTCATTGGAGGCGCCTCTCAGTGGGTTTGCACCTTATCCTGTTGCTTAGCCGCTGTATGTGTTCACGTAACCCGTACGTACTGACACATTTGGGATGCTTGATCTTTTTGTGCAGTTTTATTGGCATATAATTCATGTAAAATACAAGTCAATAGTTCGATCACATCAAGGAGAATTGGACAAGTATCACCACCATCAGTCTTAGACCATTTTCTTCATTCTCATCATTAGCTCCCCATTTCCCTGCCACCTCCCTGCCATTCACCTCCCTAAGGAACCAGTCATCTAGTTCTTGTCGCTATAGCTCTGCCTCTCCTAGATCTCATATACAGAAAACCAAAATGAAACCAAAAAAACCTAGCAAGAATAACAAAGTAAAATACGTTCAAATTTTAATAGAAAAGAAGACCAAAAAATTATTAAAACCTAGAAGAAACAGAAACAGATGCTAAGGCAGATCCAATGACAGGGTGCTAAATTTTAACCTAACTGCACCTGCAATAATCCACTTTCCAATACATTCTGCTTGATAGCCAGGCTGCCTTAATCCATGTGTATTTCCCCTGCATTTCTTTTTGCTTAATGAAACCACTTTGAAATGGGTCAAAGGGAGATCAAAGGGTAAGAGAGTCCATTTTAACATCGGTCTGCCGTAATTGACTTTCACTGCTCTCTGGTACTGGGGCTGTCACATCCGTCGCCTATGACCAGAGAGGATTCACTGGAGACTCAATCCATGTGTGGACCCTGCAAAATGGATTTTGGACAACCCAGTGCAGCGGTTCGCAACCTGTGGGTCGCGGCCCCTTTGGGGGTCGAACGACCCTTTCACAGGGGTCGCCCGATTCATACCAGTAGCAAAATGACAGCGATGAAGTAGCAATGAAAACGATGTTATGGTTGGAGGGGCCACCACCACATGAGGAACTGTATGAAAGGGTCATGCATGTGGAAGGTTGAGAACCACAGAGCCAGTGGTTTTTGATTAGAGAGGATTTTCTCCTCTCTCCTCCCCTGTGGCAATGTTTTGGGACAGTTCTGGGAAGGGTGACTGGGAGAAGGTGACAGGGTGAAGATGGGGGTGCTATCCTCGTCTAGTGAGTAATGACCAGGGGTGATAATAAAAACCCTCCAGTTGTCTTTTGTAAGAGAGAGAGAGAGCATCCAGGCCCCATTTCTTAAGGCTGTGAGGGAGGCCTGAATAGAGGGCAGCGGTTGCTTCCCCGGGGTAAACAGGGGCTCTGGTGGACAGTGACGGGTATCGGCCGAGGAGGAGGTGTTGCCCTCTCTGTGGAAACGTCTTTCATGGACAGTGGCCTGAAGCTGAGTCTGTGGCCAGCAAGTGTGAGTGGGGCCTGCTGCCTGCTTGTGATGAGTGGTACCTGTTCATTTCTGCCTAGTGTCACTCCTGTGTCTGGTTCGTGACTTCAATCAGCCCAGGGTCCAGCTGTGTCATTCTGGAGCTGGCCTTGAACCATACTCGAGTAAGTCAGTAAGCCTTAACCTTACTGGACACATCAGGGAGCAACGGGGGCTGTCCCAGAACTTGTTTCTGACGTAAAAATGCAATCGATTGGAAGGTGTCTTTGTATGAAGTGGAGGGGGGAAACCTTTCTGTAAGAGACCCCCCTCCCCAACACCCAGTGTCAGGAATGTTGAGGTTATGAAGTCCAGGGGTAATGTATTTGAATCAGATAACCCAGTAGTTCCCCTGTGTGTGCTGACACAGAGCCTGTCGGCCAGTAGAAATGGCTGTCCTGGGTGGGAACCTCTCCTCCTGGCATTCCTGGGGTGAGGGGTCTGAAACACTGTGAGGAGAGGCACACAGGGGCGCCTTCCCCAGGTTCTAGGGAGCACATTTCCCTCTACGTGGCCATGCGGCATTTCACAGTCACCCCACTTATCTCTCCATGAATGAATAATATCCACACGAGATCTGTGCTTTGGCTGTTAGGAAGGTCAGGAAGACCTTGGCCTTTTCTTTGAAGAGAAAAACAAAGGGAAACAAAATAAATGCTTTGTAATGATCTGTATATTTAGAAGAGCCATAAACCTAACAATCGAGTGTCATCCTGTCCTTATCCAAATCTCACATTTCTGCCTTTGCCAGAACAAAACTGTGGTTTTGCTCTCAGTTGGTAACGAAGTCTGTTAAAGGCTCCTAGTAACACGAGGCTGCTAACGGCAAGGTGAGGGGTTCTGAACCATGAGCCATTCTGCATGAGAAAAAGGAGGCTTCCTACTCCCGTAAAGAGCTGTAGGCTCAGAAACCCACAGGGGGAGTTCTACTCTGTCCTTCAGGGGTCCTCTGAGCCGGAACAGACTCAGTGGTGGTGAGTGAGTTTCTCATTCGAAATGCACAATGAATGGATTCATTTATCTTAAGTTTTAAAAATTATGCTATGAGTAGGGATGAAGCACGTTGTAACTGCTTTGGGAAACTGAAAGGATGCGAAGTTCCGAATAACAGACTATCTCGTGTTTTCCCACCAAACTTTTTTCCCAGCAGTGAATATATCTGGATCTTATTCTGGTTTCTCATTCTTTTTTTAGCTTCCCGAAATGACTCATGTTCAAACACGGCGACCCTGGCTGATGTTTCTCCTGAAGAACCTCGGATTGATCCTAGGCTGGCTTTGCCTCCTCCTCTTGGCTCTATATGAACAAAACATTAGAATATAAAGGCTTTTTAAAGAGTCTCAAAATTCTCCTAAAATAAATATAACGTCATCTCACTTTGTTTCTTTGGTTGTACGTTACATGTTTTGTTAAGCCTAAGGTGGTATGTGTGTGTGTGTGTTTTAGTTCATTCACTTCTTAATTTTAGAACACAATTTTGTTTTTATACATTCTTAAAGATCAAGTGGTCCTTGTCTGGAATTTTGGCCTTAGTTTCCAATATTGTGATGGAAATTCCTACTGTTTTTAAGAACTAGCAACTACTGAGCTCATTCTAGGAAGCTTTCAAAAATGCTTTGCTTCCTTAATAAAATAATATGTAGGATTTGAAATGAACAAATTCCTAAAGGGATAAAATTTGCTGCCAATGTTTTGGTGCAATGATAGAAATATTCTGTTTCTAGATATTTTAAGCTATACAGAAATTAAATTATCCCCCACCCCAAATGTAATGAAGTCTGTGTTTGGGTGTGATTTTATTATCTTCCATTGCCGAATACCAGTTTCTGAATCAGCGCTCCCCAAATCAATATAGCAGTGGTCACCTGGAAACATTACCTGCTGGGTCCTCTGTGAATAAGCAATTTGGGGGAGCCTGAAGAACACACATGCCAGCATTTTGCATCATCCCCTACCTTGTTGATTCTGACTCATAGCAAGCCTAGCTTGGGGTTCCAAGACGGTACATTTTTATAGAATCAGACAGCCTCAACCTTTCTCCAGCAGAGGGGCTGGTGGGTTTGACTCATCAACCTTCTGGTTAGCAATCCCACGCTTACGCGACAGCACTATTAATGTTCCATTCTTGTGTGTAGTTACCAAATATAATCTGTTCTGGGCAAAGGGGTTGGAAACCAAAGATGAAGTTCAGCATTTTGAAAAGTAGCAGAACTGACGTCAGTCAGGCCATAGATCAATGCCTAAACTCTTTCAGATTTAACAGAGCCTAATCTTACTGACAAATGTAACAGATTGCACATTATTTTCAGGAAACACAGAATCCTCAACAGTATTTCAGGAAGTTCATAAAATGAACATACAACATTGGTGATATACCAGCAACACTTTAAAAACTAGAAAATAACCCAGTTTGGGTCATGTACTTAGACTATAGATGCCTACTACTTTTCTTAAAATTTGAAATGATTTCTCTTTAGGGAAAAGAGCACATTTTACTGGCAAAATGACTCATGGTACTAATTTGAAATGCATTTCTTTTGCCTCTGACCCACCATAGGCAGGAACTCTGACCTGCCCCACCCAGTACAATCTAACTCAGTCACATCTTTGATTTCCAAGTGTCTTCTTCTGTTTTCTTCTGAGTTTGATTTAAAGAGCCGTTTCAGGGTCGGGCCGTCACTCTCAAAGGTTGGCGCTTGTCAGAATCAGCAGGAGCGAGTGTTTCAGTACAGATCGCTGCTCTTTTCCTAGACAGAGTTCTGATTCGGTGGCTCTGGGGTAGAGCCTGAGATGTGATGTCTAACAAGCACCAGATGCTGCCCCAGTGGCGGCCACTGAGGTCACTGCTGAGCACCATTGAACACTGTCAGACCAGGCACATGCTTTTCAGCACATTGCTTCCCCTTCCTGCTTCTCTCTGATATCTTGATTTGGAGCAGACGACTCATTTCCAGAGTGGCTAGATGAAGAGCCAGCAGACAGTATTTTTATTCAAATGCACCTGGAAGAATAATCAGAGCTGACAAGTGTCAGCTCTGAGTGCTCTGCTCTTATTTCATTACAGCCGAACAAGCACGCTTTTGTGAAGGGCAAGCATCGCATGGAAGTCAGGTGCAAGAAGAACCTGGCACCATCTGTGTTTGGGTTTCTATGACCAGGTTCCGATTTAGACATTAAGCCTTCATTTACCTGAACAACTAACTCACTGCTATCCAGCTGATTCTGACTTATAGCCACCCTACAGGACAGGTCCTATAGGACCCTATAGAATGCCCTTGTGCATGTCCAAGACTGTAACTCATTATAGGAGTAGAAGTAGAAAGGCTCATCTCTCTCTTGAGGAGCGGGTGGTGGTTTCAAACTGCTAACCTTGCAATTAGCCACCCGATGCATAACCACTATGCACGTGGACCTCTAGCCTTCATTTAAGCCAATTTGATTAGTAAATATCTGATGGATGACTTTGCTCCAAATTCAAATTGGTAGTATTAGGAAGCTGGCTAAATTCTTCTTTTTATTGCTTGGTGTGAGCTACCCCATAGTCTAGTCTTCCAATTAGAGTGAGTTTAACTTGATCCTATGGTGAGGTTGGGAATCTCTGGGTGATTCAACCCTTGTAGCACTTGGCTGCTAATCAGAGGCTTGGCAGTTCTAGTCCATTCACACGTGTCTTGGAGAAAGGCTTGGTGGTCTAGTTCCAAAACATTGACCATTGAAAACCATATGAAGCATAGTTCTGCCTGATTAGTAAAACTGACAACTGTTGGGTTTGTTTTTTTTAAATTTGTGAAATCATCATGCAGTTGGGAAACTTAGAGGCGAGCATTTTCAGGATTTTTGTCCAGCATGTCATGTTCAGACATGAGTAGAGAGAGACTCATGTCCAGACTATGAGTAGAGAGAGACTCAGTTATACAAATGTCACCTACAGGGGTTACCGCAAGGCTAGTGCAATGGACTGGCGCCAGAGGACACCTTTCCAGGCCTACCCTCCTTCGCCCCATCTATCCCCTTCCAACCCTTGCTCTTTTCTAATCCACATCAGGGTCCAAGCAGCACAGCAACATCCCCAAGTGGACTTCCAGCTACAAGTCATCTCAGAAGAGTGAGTATATTTTAACTTCAAAGTGGAGTGGCCTAAGAATATTGCAACTTTTTTTCACTCTCCTATGGACAGGCCCTAATATGGGACAGCTGAACATCAGCATCTCTTCTAAGTTGTTTAAGTTACGTGTTACTCACACAGTCTTCTGGTAAATGGCATTTTCCTTCAAACCTGATTTCTCAATCATGTTACAGTATTTCTGTTTACCAGGTCTAAATTTAGGAACCCACTGTATTTCTACTTGGTGATGGAGTTGATTTTTTAGTCACTGAACTAGAAATAATCCGGGAGAAAAATTCAAGAGCAAATCACGCAGAAATCTGATTTGAACATCCATCATCCACTGACGGATGCTTCGGTTTGCAGAGGAAGGGGAATTGGCCCCGTCTGTGATGCTGAGCACAGAGCCTGGGAAAATGGTTCTAGTGGGCCAGCCTTATTTAAAGGGCCCTTGGGTTATGACCACTACAAGCTTCCGCCATTCCTCCCACAAGGCAGCCTTCAGAGTGGAGAGCTTGTCTCTCTCTATGGCATGTACTCCTTCCAGGAGTCCCTGGCTGCACAAAGGATTAATGTACTTTACTCACGTGAAGGTTACCAAAGGCTCCTAAGGAAAAAGAGAGAAAGAAAACATAACCCAGTGACCCCTTCCAATAAGGCAAACCTCTGTGGAGCACAGTTCCATTCAGATGTATATGGCGTCACCATGATTTGGAAGGGATAAGAGAGCATTTGGCTTTTCCTCTTCAAAGATGGAAGGGAAGGGCTCACTTGTGAGCTGTTAATCACCAGCTGAGTCCAGAAACCAGGTTGGGCCTCAGGCTTGAAATGGGAATCTTGCTTCAGATTTCAGGCATGCCACTTAATGGCCTTGGAACTTCTTGGAACATCCATTTCTGTAAAATGAGGCTAAAAATAAAACCACAAACCAGGCTATTGCTCATGAAGTCCTTAGCACTGTGCCTGGAGCATACTAATGATTCAATAAATATTAAATCATCATCACTGGTATGCCCTTCCTTCATCCTAGCTTGGCAAGTGACTCCTCCAAGGGGCACCATAGAGGTATCTCTGCTTGGAAAATGAGTGGGAAAAACACATACATATCCTCTCATATACACACACTTGTTTGGTGGTTTGTATGTTGCTATGATGCTAGATGCTACATCACCAAGATCCCTTGATAGGCTCCCTCTGACTCCCATTCACATCCTTGGCTTGACTCAGGGATTTGGAAGCAATCTGGGATTCCTGAATTCAATGTTTCTCATGGTCTCAGTGTTTTTCCTGTAAATTTCAGGTTATGCAGGGCCCCATGACTCATTCCACAACATCCCAAAGAGTTAGAGCTGCAACCAATTATGGATATTTAACTCAGCTCCTAAGGTTTATAGTAATGATGTAATGGCAAGTACTTTATAGAATCTACTATATGCCAGATATTATACAATGTGCTTTATGTACACCGATGGTTTCGGAGACTGTGAATCTTTATGGGAGGAGAGAACCGCATGTCCAGCACAGCAGCTGGTACTTCCTTGCCACCAGGGCTCCCTTACAATAGAGGAGGTGTCAGGAGCTGCCTAAATATTATTCTGATCAAGAGTGATAATAATTCTAGCTCATGCTCTATGGGTTAGATGATATCTCAGGTTCTGAGTTCAATTCTGGGAGAAACATGTGGACATGGAAATAAGATGCTTTTTAAAGACGTCAGGGCATATCTAGAAGGTACAGTTTCATAATCATAGCAATAGCTGTTGTTTTTTAAACTTCAATAAGCTAAATATGTGTTAAGTGCTTTACATATATTATTTTTCTTGTAATTAAGCCCTTTATCAACCTAGTTTAGAACCTTTGGGTGGCTCCAACAGTTAATGCGCTTGGCTGATAATGGAAAGGTTGGAGATTCAAATCCACACAGAGGTGCCTCAGAAGAAAGACATGGTATTCTACTTTTGGGAAAGAAGCCTTTTTGGAAGCCTTATGAAGCACAGTTCTGTCCACAAGACACTACAAATTAGAGCCAATGGAATGGGAACTGGTTTGGATCAACTTATGTGATAATAGCAGAGGCACCATGATTTCTTGAACCAGGTCTCTTCCATTCCACCACACCGCCTCAGACAATTCTTAAGGGAACTGGACAAACATACACAAAAGAGGAGACTCAGAAGCGTTGTGCAAGAATGATCTTTCAACAACTCTGCTTCGAACCACACACAAACTTCTTGCAGTATGGGGGGACCCCAATCGGGTTCTTAAGGAGCA